TGATTCTCTTGCCTCAGCCTCCCAAGTAGCTGGAATTACGGGCACCCACCACCACGCCCAGGTAATTTTTGTATTTTTAGTAGAGATGGGGTTTTGCCATGTTGGCCAGGCTGGTCTACAACTCCTGGCCTCATGATCTGCCCACCTTGGCCTCCCAAAGTGTTGGGATTACAGGCGTAAGCCACCATGCCTGGCCCATTTCCTTCCTTTTAAAGCTGAATAGTATTCCATTGCATGGCTACACTGCATCTTTTTCTTCCATCGATCCACTGATGGACACTTGAGTTGCTTCTACCTTTTGGCTGTTGTGAACAATGCTGCTATGAACATGGGTATGAAAATACCTGAGTCCCTGTTTTCAATTCTTTTGGGTATATACCAGAAATAGAATTGCTGGATCATACGGCAATTCCGCTCAATTTTTTGAGAAACCACCATAAGCCATATCATCCTCTTCAGAGGCAGCACTCCTTCACACCTTTACCAGCAATGTGCCAGGATTCTAATTTCTTCACATCCTTCCCCACATGTTATTAAATAGCCATCCTGGCCGGGCGCGGCAGCTCACGTCTGTAATCCCAGCACCTTGGGAGGCTGAGGCAGGTGGATTACTCCTGAGGTCAGGAGTTCAAGACTAGCCTGGCCAACATGGTGAAAGCCTGTCTCTACTAAAAATGCAAAAAAAATTAGCCAGGTGTGGTGGCACGCGCCTGTAATTCCAGCTACTTGAGAGGCTGAGGCAGGAGAATTGCTTGAACCTGGGAGGCAGAGGTTGCAGTGAGCTAAGATTGTGCCGCTGCACCCCAGCCTGGGTGACAGAGCGAAACTCTGTCTCAAAAAATAAATAAAAATAAATAAATAAGTCATCCTAATGGCTATGAAGTGGTTCAATGTGTATCTTTTTATTTGTATAACTTCTTTCAAGTGTATGTAATTATTTTGTGTATATGTAATTTGTTTTACATAGTAGCATTATGCTATTCATTTCCCTCTGTGTCTTACTATTTTCACTGGAAATTGTGTTTAAGATTGATACATTGGTTTTGTGTACATGGGATTCATTGCTTCTCACTTTTGCATAGCACTTTATGGTGTGCATGAATCACATCCATGTATATTGAGAACCTCCTAAGTTCTTGTGCCAACCTTCTATATGAGTGATTGAATCTGGTTCCATACAGCAACCCTAAGAAGGTGTTGTAATTACCACATTTCATGGATGAGAAAACTGACACACATAGAGTTAGGGAACGTGCCCAGAGTCACATAGCCCCAAGTCGTAGAGGTAGAAGTGTAACCCAGGTCATTCTGGTGCCACAGAAGAGCTCACTCGGGTAAGGTGTTACAAAGAGCTACAGCTAGAGATCTGACTTTAGACAGGGGCCCTCTCTTAGGCAAGGGCCCTCTGATGAAAGTTCTAGTCCTGATTTGGCTGCTTATCATCTTAGTGCAAATCACCTTCCTTCATAGACATCACTTTCTGTGTAAAATGAAGACAATTTTAATACTTTTTCTAGATTCATTACATGTTGATTAAATACCCTTTAGCTAAAGGGAAAAATAATCAGAATTGAAGTCAGGCGTTTGTTTCTTTCATGTATTTGGAGTGGTCCACCTGGGAGTCACTCCAAATACATCAAAACCCTCTGGTGAACTGTTCACAACGTGAACTGTTCATAGCACGGACTATTCCCAGGGAAACAGAGTGGCTGTCTCTGCTTCCATCCCACCTCTCCTGAACTTTGCACTTACCATGATGAAATGTGTTTCCCTTCCAAGGACAACCTCTGCAAAAGCAGGCCTGGCTGTGCCCCAGGAGACCAGGTGTCAGAACAGAGTTGTATCCATCCAAAGCGGCCCACCCATTCACTGCCCAAAGTCAAGATCAAGAGAGCATGCAGGGTCCTCTCAGCACTGAGAAGAATCAGTTCCTCAGCCCTCCTCCTCCAACGCTTCTCGTGGAGAAACAGGCTGGAGGAGAAAGAACTAGCCCAGAAATGGCACTTATTAGACTTGCAGGTGGGTCCAGCACTCTTTCTGCGTGCACAGCTGTTCTTGTTACATGGATGCTAGCAGGGGAGGCACAGGGAAGCCTGGTTCCGCCACCCTAACTAGCTGGCTGCCTAGTTATTTCCTTCCCTCTGGAAAATGAGAGGGCTGACTGAGGGCCCCTTCTAATGCCATGATTTTAGAGGGCGAAGCACCTGTCCAGGTCCTTCCACTCCATGTAATCCTCAGATCTCTCTGAGGCTCTTCCTCCGCAGTGCAGATCGCCTTCTTTCATCAGGCATTGCTCTCTGTGTAACATAAGGGACTTTAACTAGAGGAGGACAATTACAGTGCTCTTTCTGGATTCACCACTGCACAGTAAGAACCACCTGCTCCATTCTTACAGCGGAGAGAACAGACGCTGGTCAAGGGGAAGAAGAGAAACAGCCAGAATTGGAAGCCAGGCCAGTCACAGGTGGACACTGAGCCTCTTTTACTTTCTCTGGCTACCTCTCAACGGTTGGAGTTGTTCAGGTCAAGAGGAACATTTTACCGGAAGATGATGACTGCAAGGCCCCTTTCTGCCCATCTTTGCCCACTCAGTCACATCTTCCCCACCAGCACTCTTTGGGGCTTCTCTAGGCTGTGAACGCCTTGAGGACCTTCGTCTTTTATTTTGGAAGTTCTGGAACTGAGCAGGAGGGCTGCAGCATAGAGCTGAGCTCCTTCCACCACTTTTCATGGCATTAACAACGCAAACCTTTTCACCTGAGTTTCCCACAGCCTCCTAGGGAAGCTACCTCTAGCCCATTTTACAGGTGAGCAAAGAGTCCTTGCAGTGTTACCATAGTTGCCCACATAGAGAACTATTTTACAAAGAGCTCGATCAGTGATATCATCTTTGCCTTCCGTGACCCAGGCGGCTGGGTACGGTGTCAAGATCGGAGACTGAGGCTTCAGCAAAGTATTAGGTTCAAATTCCAGCGCTGCCACTTGGAACCCTGAGTAAGTAATGCAATCTCTGTGCCTCGGGAGAGTCATCTGTATACGTGAGGCTCAGGAACTTCTACTCACCAACCATTGTTAAGATTGAATCAGAGGGCAGCAGGCGGGTTACCTGGAATGAAGAAAGCAGTCAATAAATGTAGATTGTGTCATCCTTGTCTCTCTTGAGGGATGGGAATAAAAGAGTGTAACCTATGACCACAGCAGCAGCGCGTTAACAGGAGGACCAGCCAGGAACGGAAGCCACGTTGTCAAACCCCAGTTGGGGTTCAGGGATTCTTTCCAGGCGGGTACTTAGGAAGAGACGAGGGTGAGGCGCACAGTGCCCTCAGCAGCAGCAGCAGCCACAGACTGCCTTGTGGGAGGCGGTTCTCTGGGCCAACAAGGCAAGGGCCCCTGCCGCTTCTGGCCTTATTTTGTGGATTGCGCCACACCTCACAGGGCTTTTTAACTCCCCACTCACTTGAAGGTTTGCAGATAATTTAAAAAAAAAAAAAAAAGGCCAGGCGCAGTGGCTCCAGCCTGTAATCCCAGCACTTTGGGAGGCCAAGGCGGGTGGATCACGAGGTCAAGAGATCGAGACCATCCTGGTCAACATGGTGAAACCCCGTCTCTACTAAAACTACAAAAAATTAGCTGGGCATGGTGGCGTGTGCCTGTAGTCCCAGCTACTCAGGAGGCTGAGGCAGGAGAATTGCCTGAACCCAGGAGGCGGAGGTTGCGGTGAGCGGAGATCGCGCCATTGCACTCCAGCCTGGGTAACAAGAGCGAAACTCCGTCTCAAAATAAAATAAAATAAAATAAAAAATACAAAGCGGGGGTAGGGGGTGGGGGATTCCTGCTGTTAACAACAAACAAAGGACTTAGACACTGGCTAGTCTGATGTGGGAGGCGGCAGCAAGAAAAAGGCCCAGGGTCCCGGAGTAGCTCCTGAAAGTCACCAAGGGGCCTGCGGGCAGACGCCCCTGAAATCTTTTGGTGGGGAGAAAAGACCGGATCTCCCCAACCTGTCAGTTAGTTTGTTGCTGTTTCGCTTTTTTTTTTTTTTTTTTTTTTTGAATACATAAACTCCCGAATACTCCTGTCTTGCCTCACTTTTTTGTGAGTTCATTGCTTTGGAAACAAAACTCTCTTGCATTTATTGGGTGTCAAATTTCCGATCTTTCTCTATCAGGAGATCCAGCAACACCCGGTTATGTAAATTTCTTCCAAAGATAAATTTGAAAGCATCCCCATTCATTCCTTTAAGAATTCAACAGATGTCTTTGAGGCCTATTTTCTGCCGGGTACTCGCTTCACAAGGCTTAAGGGACCCCAGGCTCCAGCCACTGTCGAGGTTGTCACTGAGATCCCCAACTCTCCACTTCTGAGGACCCACTTCTCCCCACCTCCCTCCTCCGCACACGTTCCCGAGGCCCTCAGCCGGTGTGATCTCACCGAGGAGAGAATAAAAACAGCCCCCGGGCGCCGGAGCCGGCCAAGGGCCTTGACGGGGATCAGCGAGCGCGGGGCCAAGTGCGCGCCCCAACTTCCTGGGCCCGGGCCTTCCGCGCGCCCCCTCTCGGGCTAGGGTCCCCTCCAGGGTGCACTCCCGCTGGGACAGCGCTTGCTTGCTGCGAGTCCAACCCTCTCCGGCCCGCAACTCCAATCGAGCTGCCGGAGTGTGGGCTCCGAGAGCGAACGCCAAGGGCCGCGCTCAGCCCTCCCTTCTCGCCGCGCCTTTCCCAAGACTTCCTCCCCACGCCCGCCCGACTTCAGGTCGGGGCCGCGCGGGATTCCGCGCGCTCCAGCCAGGGCTGCTGCAGCCCGGGTCGCCCACGTGGGCGTGCTGGGCGTGGGGAGGTGGCGAGGTGGCCGGACGGCCGGGAGCCCTTCCCGGAGCAGGGGGCGGGCAGGGCGCCAGCGCGAGGAGGCGGCGGGGCGCGGGGGAGGAGGCGGGGAGCCCCGGCGGCGAGGGGGCGGTGACAGCGCTAGGAAAGGAGGCTGCACGCGGATTTGCATGAAACACAGACTGGGAGCGGGCGGGAGCGGGAGCGGGAGCGCGGCGGACGCCCCGGGCCGGCCCAGCCAGCGAGCGAGCGAGCCGCGAGCCGGGAGGAGGAGGGCTGCGAGGCGGCGAGCGGCAGAGGCGGAGGGAGCTGCTCATCAAAGCTAGCGCGGCGAGCGAAGTTTGGCCGGGGGTTGGACTTTCCTTCCCGGAGGCGGCACCCAAACAGCTACCCCGTGCGGAAACCCAAACTTCTGCTGCCACTCGGAGTCTCGCGGCCGCCGCCTCCGCCCCGCGTTCGGGGCCTTCCCGACCCGGCGCCGCTGCCGTCCGCCCACCCGCCTGGCCGCCCTTTTCCCCGCCGTGGGAGCCGCTCCGGGCTCAGAGCGGCGCGCCGAACCCCGCAGGCTGCAGCGCGGCGGCCCGGCCCGGCGCCCCGGCAACTTCGCTGAGAGTTGAAGCGAAGTTTGGGTGGCCGAGGCCGGCCCGGGCAGAGCTCCCCTCTGCGCCCCCGGCGTCCCGCCTAGTACAGCCCCGCCGGGGGCGCTCCTCGCCGCCCGCGCGCCCTCCCCAGCCATGTCGTCCATCCTGCCTTTCACTCCCCCGATCGTGAAGCGCCTGCTGGGCTGGAAGAAGGGCGAGCAGAACGGGCAGGAGGAGAAATGGTGCGAGAAGGCGGTCAAGAGCCTGGTCAAGAAGCTCAAGAAGACGGGGCAGCTGGACGAGCTGGAGAAGGCCATCACCACGCAGAACGTCAACACCAAGTGCATCACCATCCCCAGGTGGGGGCCCGCCCGGGGGACCCGGGGGCAAGCAGCCCAGCCGCCCGGCACTGCGGGGCCGACCCAGTGGGGTTGGAGGTGGGAAGAGGGAGAGAGACTGTGTGCGTGCGTGTGTGTGAGAGTGGGGAGCGAGAGCAGGGGTAGGAAGGGGGTGGGGGGACCCCAAACAAAACCATCTCAGCATTTGCAAAGATCAGAGCCCGAGGCTTCCACGCGGCACTCTCGCTTCCAGACCTCACATTCCCTTTCCACCTCCGGGAGGGGAGAGCCGGTTGCTGCGGGACTCGGCCGCCCCCACCCAGGGGAGCTGGGGCTGGAAGTTGAGGCCCGCTTTGTTCGGCTCCGCGGGCCGGAGCCCCTCCTCCGCCGCCGCCTCCCGCCCCCGCGGCCCGCGCTCGTGGAGCTGGTGGTGTCTCTGCGTTTCTTTTCTTCAGTCCGGTCTCCCCACTTCTTTCCTCTACAGGAATGCGGTCCGTACAGCTGGGGCTGTGGGTGAGGAGCGGGAGCCTCGTGATTGACAGATTCCTTCTTCGTTCTTTCTTTGCCTTCGGGATTAGCATTTTTATCGAGTATTTTTAGACTCGGTTGTGCCAGTCTCCCGCCCCCTGTACACGCACGCACTTTGGTTGCAGTGCAAATGCTCTGACTTCCAAATGGGAGAGACAAGTGGCAGAAAATAGGGTCTTCTCCCTCACTTCCCACCCCTCATCCCGACTCATTTGCCCTCTTTTCAGTCCAAGAGATTTTGAGTCCGTGCAGAACGAGGGAGAGGGGCGGGCTGGAGCCGGGCAGATAACAAAACACACCCCAAAGTGGGCCTCGCATCGGCCCTCGCATTCCTGTAGAGCTCTCCTTCCCAAAGCGCTCTGCCATCTGTCTGGATCTCCTTTATCCTTCCCGTCGCGCGCTAGCTAGGTCGGGCGGGAGCCCACAGATGGCTGATAGAAGGGGTCAGTGACTTCAGTCCCCCAGGGGCTTCCTTAGCTTAGCTGTGCCTGGCTGAGAATTGGGGGTGGAGGTACCTTGGCCTCCTGTCTCTGCCTCTCAGCCGTCTTTGATTCTGAACCAGGGGAGAGGGTGCGTGTGTTGGGGGGTGGCTGTTTTGGAGGTCCTAGGCTGCAGAGGAATGAATAGAGAGCACCAGGGACTGTCAGCCACGAAGGGTTGTCATCCCTGCTCCGGAGCCAGGGTGGACTCCGTCCTTGGCCACCTGCTTGGGGCAGTGGTACAAGGTCTGCCAGGCGAGTCAGGCAGGCACAAAGCAACATCTGTCTGCGGGAACTCAGGGCAGGCTTCCCCTGGAAATAAATGCCACATATGGTGGGAGTGCGGACTTAAAAAAAAATCTTTTTTCACTGGGTGGATCCAGTCAATAAAGGGGGAGGGAAGGCGGTGTGCTGTCTGGGGAAGTTTCTGGGCGTGTGATTGGGAGCCAGAATTGACTTCAGAGGAGGTGGTGTGGTGTGATGTGATGGTCAGAGAGACCCGGGGTTTGGTTCCAGCTCTGGTTCTTAATTCTTCTGTATTTCTTCGGTGCGGGTGGAGAGGGTAGAGTGGGTGAGTATCCTACTTCTCTGTCTGGGGAGGGGTCTGCGAAACCTACCTTGTCCGTATCTGCCTTGGTGCATTGAAGACAAACGCTTCATGCATTGAAAAAGAAAAAAGAAGTGGTATTAATTGTAAAACAGGCAGCCGTGAACAGTGTTTCACAGTTTACAAAGCACTTTCACATGGTTTTCTGAGGTCCTCAGAAAAAGCAAGCAGGCAGCCAGCCAAGCCCTGGAAAGTAGATAAGGTTGGTAGGCCTAAGATTATCACATTTTTAAAGTTGAGAAAACTTTAGAAGAGAGAGGTGCAAAGGCTTGGGTAGTAGACACGGGCTTCTGACCGCATGTGCTCTTTCTGCTGCCCCATGCTGCTTTCTACTTTGAAGATCTGAATACATTCTTTGCTGAATGCTAAAGCTCTGTTAGCTTGGCGAGGGCCCTGTGGATCTTTGTATGTGCGGTTGCTCCTTTATCTTTGGGCTGCTGACGGCTTGGCGGAGAGGCCTTGCTTTCCCTCGCTTTGGTAGGAGTTTGTCCTCTGTGAGGCCATACCTTTGGCCTGCCTTTTCCTCTTCTAAAGTCCTGCTGAGACTTTGGAAGGCTAAGACAGATGCACGTTTTGGATGCTTCTGAGAGTTCAAGTGACCCTGCCCTGTGGCCTTCTCGTGACTTTGTTAGGACTGAGGCATCCTTCTGCCTGCCTGGATAGGACCTAATGCAAAAGGACATTTTTTTTTTCATCTTTTTTCGCAAGTTAGGGAAACCCAGTTGCTTGGGTGGATCCAGACAAAATGGATTTTCATCCTCGGATTTTGTGCCCACGCCTCTGGGTCACCTTGTGTCCCCTGGCAACAGCTGCCGCTGTTTTGGTCGTGGGCAGAAAACTAAAGGCCACATCTTGGGGAGGTGGCTGGCTGGCTTGGCCTTCTGCTGATGATATCGTGTGCTGAGCCCCATAGGTTGCAGCGTTGATTGTCAAATGGTCTGCTTTCACCACACTGCCTTTTAGTTTGGAAAGTGGAGAAAGGAAAGTGTTTAACTTAGTCATCCCCCTGTGTGGGTGGGGGTTGGTCACTGGGTGCTTAAAAACACTCTGCAAGATCTGGACTCTGGGGTTTAAGGAGCCCTCAGTCTAAGGAGATTATGCCAAGCGTGTTTTGGCTAATATATAATCATGAGCTGCAACAGCAACATTTGGCAATTAAAGCTGTATACTAGGGACTTCCAGACCGCAGGCTGGCTGCTTCTCTCTGACACCAGCTCTAACGTGTTTCAATTTCGGGGCGGGGGGAGTGCTGGAGTGATGCACACTTGTCAATATCAAGACAGTAAAAGAGATTGGTGCGGAGGAAGTGGTAAGAGCTTCATTTAGATACACTAACAAAGGGGCTGTCAGGCTGCTCTGATGTCTGGCAGGATTGGCAGGATATACACATGTTTTATAACAGCCTCTCATGCCCCACCTGCGTGAGCACCTGAGGAAAGCTGCAAGTCTCTTCCTCGCTAGTTTATAAGAATGGAAGCCTTCAGAAGCGTTTGCCACTGAATGAGAGACGGTGTGAGAGCGTTGTATCAGGAATAGCACACTTAAAACTTAATTTTCTGGTGGACACTGGTAGCTCGTGCTTCCATGGGGGAATCCATGCCTTGGCCTAGTTGCTGAGAGATAGAGCAAGGTTAAGGCACTGCTTGTTTGGAAGGGAAAATGGGCTTTCTGGTGTCAGAGCACCCAGTCCCGTGGAAAACGGGAGAATCGAAGGGAACACTAGGTCTGGCACACAGCATCTGCTCCCTCCCTGTGAATCTGATCTTTTACTGTAGTGCCCTCCTGTTATCTCCTTGAATTTCGCCAGAATACTCTCACCTTAAGGAGGAAGGATAAAGATCCTAATCTTTATTTATTTATTTTTGAGTTGGAGTCTGGCTCTGTCTCCCATGCTGGAGTGCAGTGGCACGATCTCAGCTCACTGCAACCTCTGCCTCCTGGGTTCAAGTGATTCTCCTGCCTCAGCCTCCCAGGTAGCCGGGACTATAGGTGTGTGCCACCACGCCTGGCTAATGTTTTATGTTTTTAGTAGAGACGGGGTTTCACTGTGTCAGCCAGGATGGTCTTGATCTCCTGACCTCATGATCTGCCTGCCTCAGCCTCCCAAAGTGCTAGGATTACAGGCATGAGCCACTGTGCCCAGCCAAAGATCCTAATCTTTCACATTCCTTTTTCAAATTTCTGGGGATAGACCTACTACCAAGGCCGTAGAGCTCTCCCTCTTCTCTCAGCTGCAGCTAGAGCACCAAGCCGGTGTGGCCCATTGGAAGCAAGCCGCCTTCCAGCTGCTAGGGAGGTAGTCCATTGTCTCTTTGCTCTTGTTAACTTGGGCCGAGAAGAGGAGGGGCCTGCAGGGCAATTCGGTAGCTGAGGAGGAGTCTGACTCAGCTGCATCTGAACCTAGGGCCACTTGATGTTCCCTGGGAACATTTAGAACCTGCTTGCACCTGGGAGTTGAGTGTTTGCAGATGACTCCTCTGTTGATAATTGCCAGTCAAATGTTACAGGGCTGGATTTTATTGATTTATTGGTATGTATGGGACCCCTCCCATGTCTGAGTCCATTTTTTAGGTACGAGAGGAGGATGTAGAGACACACTTGAAAAGTTCGCCGCCTGTGAGAAGCTTACACATCAGTAAGGGAAACATTAATAGAGCATTATCTGAGTACCTAGCTGCTCTTTCTCATTCCCAGCTACCTGTAGAAATATGAGATCTAGTATGGATGATTTTTTGGAGGGTGCGTTGGTATGCCTTTTAAATATTATATAAGTCACTAGGCTAGAAAATCAAATCATGACAGCCATCTGTTTTCTCTGGAAAAAAAAAATACAAGATTCAGGTCTTATCTACCGTTTTACTACCTGCATGGATTTGGGAATCCACTTAAGTGTCACAGCTTTTATGTCTGCCCCTGTAAAGTCAGGATGAGATAAGTCCTGTGGAAGTGTTTTGTGAACCAGAGAACTTGACAGGTATGTTACCTTTAGCCTTCCTTCTGCATTCATTCATTATTCAATCATTCGGTCCTTTACTGAGCACGTGCTAAGATGACCACAGCAGGGTCCCAGTACTATTCCAAGTTTTAGAACGCAGCTCCCTGTCTAGAGCGGGAGACAGACTTACCCAAAGGTAGAGGGGCGTGAGCTATAGCTGAGGAATATGCTAAGTGCCCAGCAGTGTGGAAACAGTTAATTCTGTAGGAGGGAGATGTAGACAGGAGGAGAACCCGTGAGAGGTGGAAGACCTCTCATGGGAACAAGAGTTATCCCAGGGAAGTTTTTGGACTGCAATATGATGTTGGGAACTTTTTGGTACTTGGGGTTAGTTCCCTACAAGAATGAGGACGTCGTTATCTTCTGTCTTTTACTAAACTGAGCGCTGCTCTAAATATGTTACTTTGTACCT